CACTTGCTCTGCCCCATGTCATCACCATGATCCAATAGGGAAGGAGGCAGCGTCAGCTGCGACTAGTGCCGTCAGGTCTCCAGGGAAAGTCCTCCAGTCGGGCTTCGGAGGCTTGGTGTTTCTTAGTCTAGAATCTGAAATCTGAAAAATGACCTTTCTGGTCCAAGAAGAAGTGCTTGTGCCTCTTCCCTTGGTCTTTCTTAATTCCTCTCCACCCTGCTGCACTGAGCTCACCCAGCCCCAAGGGGCAAGCACCGCGCACCAGAGTTTGATCAGCCACCGGGTGCGCCAGACGCCCCGGAAGGTGGCATGGCAAAGGTACTTCAGCAGTCTGCTGCACGATGATGAAGCTCTCCAGGAAGAACAGCTTCCACCTGGACCCAGCCTAGACTCACTTTCAAGTTCTGTGTGCAAAGAGCCTACGTGTGACAACCCCCACTGCCCACAGGTGGCCAGAGGAAGGCAGAGGCCAAGAGAGTGTCGCAAGCCTTGTGCCTGAGCAGCAGTTAACTTCAAAGCCCGGCTGGAGGGCTGGATCCCCCTTGGGTGCGCTGCCCCAGGCCACGGAGCAGCTGTCTGCTGACTCACCCTCTCACTCCTCCGAGGCTTTCCTAATTTCTCTGGTTATGTGAAATGCTATTGTGTCCTTAGGAGGCAACGTGGGCCTTCTTTGGTTATTGGGCTTGGCGGTTTACCTTACAGAGCAGCACTCAGAGGCTTGGCGAGGGAAGAGGGTGACCACACCAGTAGGGTGCCCAAGTTGTCCCTGCCGTTCCTTGTCCATGCAGGGGTTCTCAGTTCCCAGTGGTATTTCCTTTAAACCTGTGTGGAGGGGACAGACGGGAGAGCCCTGCCCACTCAGGACCTGCCTCCCCGCCGTGTGGGCTTGGCCCTCTCCAGAGCCATGCTGCCACCTCCCCCAGGGCATTGTCAACATGAACGGAAGTGCTTCCTTCCTGAGATCAGGCCTGTTTATTTTCTTAGCTAATGTCAGAAAGTACAAATAGATTTCATAAATTACTTCATCTGCTTGGTATGAAATGAACACCACCTCAGGTATTTTGTGTGAGCAATTTGAAGTTAGCATTTAATTGTTTCATGTGTGTTTCCAATAACTTCAATAAGGCTTTCATTTCCAAATAAGTGCATGTGTATTACTATTCATAAGAATATCTATACGTTTGCCATATAAGAGTATCTTTCCAAAAAGCACCAGAGTCAGAAAAGTCCAAATTTGATTTACGCTGTCCCTGAGCCTCCCAGGGCCGTCCACATGTTATTTACTGCTTTTCCTGTCTCGGAGATAAGAGGCTCCAGCGTCAGGCTAAAACAAATGGGTCAGAGTTCTCCCCAGGCACAGGTCCCGGTGGCGAGCCAAGCACCAAGGGAGATGCAGGCCGCAGGGGCAAGGCCCAGCAGAGCACCCAGTCTGCAGAGAGCATGTGTGACCGCAGTCACAGTCACCGCCATGGCCAGGCTCTCCACCCAGAAGAAATGCTTCTGCGCCAGGGACTGGCCCTGGCTTGGGAAGGCTGCTCTGGCCACCATATTGTCCTTCTTTCTGGCTTCGCTTCCCTTGCCTTTGTTTTTTCTCCTTTTCCTGAAATAGCAAATAAGAAAGGAAAAGAATGAGGCTTCCAGAGGCTACAATATTCACCCAAATCCTACATGATCCCCATCTGCAGCTGGCCTGCATCCACCAAGCCTCAGATAACTTGGTGAAATGTGAACRCAGCTTATGTAAGAGCCCCCTGTGGTGGTCCTTGGGACAAGGTGTCACGATGGTCACTTGGCAGGCCTGAGCTGGGTTATGCACCAGGAGCATGCCGTCAGAGGATAGGGCTAGGACACACACATCCTCCTTCTGACCCAAAAGGCTTCAGAGACAGAAGCATCCAGGTTAGGACAGGTCAAAAAGGTTTAGATAGACAAAGAGTTTGCATATTTTTAATGCTTCAACGCAATGCTTAAACAGCACAGGAAATTCAACATTCAGAGTGATAACTGCATTTAAAGTAACTTCTAACCTGGTGGCGGTTCATGCCTTCTACCTACAAGAACAGGCCCTGAGACCCTTGTCTTCTCTGTCTGCATATCATCCTGGTGGAAGCACAAAATCTGGTTTAAACCCTTGCTATAGCCTTATTYGTTCGGCTATAAATAAAACATATCTTTTCCATCATCAACATATCTTTCTAGCTGCTGAACATAAAATAGACTCCTAGCTTCCTAAATTGAAATGTCACCTTCCTAATCAGAATTGACAATTGTAAATAACCATCTGGTTGGCTTTTTTAAAAAGTGTCCTATTTTCACAAACATATTTTCCAACAGCGTCATGTGTATTTAAAATGGTGAGCTCAAACTAATCACCTCAATTTCAAGTTCTCGAAGAAACTGACAGTATCGCAGTTTTGAAATGAAGATCCCATTACTCACCTGCCTCRCAACAGAGTTTAACACTGAACTGTGCAGTGTCATCACTGAGGCATACAAAATGAGGGGCCTGCTGTCTCTCTGTGGTCTTTTTTCTGCCCCAGTGATACACATTCTGCAACCGCCAAGTATTTTAACTCCAACTCACTTTTTGAACAAGCAACTTTTGTACTGTCCTTTTATCATTTGGTTTATGCACTGCTGAGGAACAAAAAAGCTACATAGTTTACTTACTCCTACAGTTAGATATTTTTTTCGAAGTAAGAATATGAAATAAAGTGTTGCTTGTCGTTGCTACTTTCTGGCGGACAGGGAAACAACAGGGTGTGTTAAGATTTCCATTGTGTGCAGACTTTCCAAACCCCCGGCTCCCACTGGGAAAATATGTCTATCCCGTGATCTATTCAGTTCTTGACCTTTTGACTAATATGCCAACAAAAGGCACATTTATTAGTGATTAATGTATGTATCTTTGTCCATACCAAGCGGGATCAAGGCCGTCCCAGCTCGGCCTCCTCGGGCAGTGTTTCCCACGTGCCCTCGGGGTGCCTGGGCTCCTCTGTCCTCCACAAACCTCGGTGGAGCCTCCCTCTCCCTAAGAACTCAGAGACCATGAGCAGGAGCTCATCAGGACTGGGATTAGGGAGGAGGAGGGACCCCAAGAGCAGCCAAAGACCCCCTGGGGCATTCTTCCCATTTCCCCGGCATCCTGGAATGCCGAGGTGTCTTTCCATTGCCGTCTCCCTGTGCAGGGGTCTCCTTCCTCTCCTCTGTAGGTCTCAGTGGCCAGGGCTCTCCTGCTGAGCAGCTCTTCTCCCACCTGTAACCAAAGAAGCCAAACGCCACTTCCTCCTGAGGTGCCTGCCCTGGGGCGCCACACCTCACCGCAGCCCTCTCCTCAATCTCTGTAAAAAGCACGTATTTTCTAAATGTGCATTTATCTGTGTTTTTGTTTATAAAAAGTGTTATCTTTGTTGTTTTGTTTTTGTTTTTGTTTTTGTTTTTTTTACAAAAACCTACAGGGCAAGGCCTTTCTGTTCAAAAATATCATTTCTTGTCTGTTCTGTATTCTAAATCTTATTCTGAGGTCATAGGTCCTCTGCATTCGGGCATGACTGGCCTCTCTGTGGATCAGACTTTACCTTAGCTCTCATGTGATGACGGGGTGGCTTCCGCCGTGAGAAAGAAAAGGGCACCTAGTTACAAACGGTTTTATAAACCATTTAAGTGTTTTATGAAAAATGAAAATGCTCCACAGTTGTCTGCCTCACACTACGTTTCTTTTTGGAAATCAGTAGTGTTTCCGCCTGCCTTGCCCTCCACCAAGAGAGACGGACCAAGATGGCCACTCCCTCCCTGTGCATCAGCCAAGACACCCCTCCACCTGCTCTTTTTACATTGGAACTAGATACACGTTGTAAGGCTGTATCTGAGATAGGAASGAGCCGAGTCCTCCTGGTGACGCGCGCTTCCTCGGGTTGCGTGGCAGTCCCCTGCAGTGGCATCCTGGCCTGGCTCCTGGCCCTCGCAGAGGAGGGGGCAACCCKTGCACCTTTGCAGGGGCACACTGACCACTGGCCTCTGGAGCCGAATGCCACAGAAGGCGTGCAGGTGTAGAGAGGAAAACGTGGGGGTTTGGTGGTGTGGATGGGAGCGAAGGGGGCGTTCTGTTGGACTCCCACAGTCTCAGCAATTCCTCCAGACACCTCACAGGCTGGGTGCTGTCAGGAGTCTGGCTTCCAAATGGCCCGAGTTTGCAGAGTAGCTCGAGGGTCTCAGATGCAGGTTATGGGGCCTTCCACGCTGCCCCAGCACTTCCTCTCCTAGAGCATCTGGAAGGCAGCCGCAGGGGTCACMTCTGGGCATTGCATGGCTGGGCTGGGCTCAGGCCTTCGGGCACCCACTGTGGGTGGCCTGCCCCCTTGGACYCAGAGGTTCCAAAACCAGCAGCAGCCAAAACCCCCCTTGAAGCCATAACCCAGAGCTGTCATTCAGAGGGTCAGTGGTCATTCAGGAGTAGCCACTGGCTTGGAGAGCACTTCCCTCCCGTCCCTCCATCCCGAGTGGTGGGAATGATGGCAGATCACCCAACGCTGAACCTGTGCTCACAGGAGGGAAAGCTCTCCTGTGGGCAAAAGCTGCAAAGCACAGGATGGGCTAGGCCTCTCCTTCCAAAGTACACCCCTTTTAATCCCAGGGACCAATACCTGGGCCTTCTAAATGCAGCATGCTGTGAGACTCAGAACTCCAGGCCCAGGAGAAGAGTCGGTGCCACGTCAGAGAAGGAGCCCCCCCCCAGGCTTGCGGCAGGTCTTGAACCTGTGATTAACTCACTTTCGTTTACTCCATTGTTTTTTAATGTTAAATCATTTTCCATCAGCTCCATGCGAGGTTTGGGTACTTTTGATTAGTTGTCACTATTTCTGAATCTCAGCATAGTCACATAGAAATGTTAACTCTTTGGTTCTCCTAGTCACCATTCAGAGGAAGGGTCTAGACTGGTGGGTAGGACTTTGGGGAGCCACACGGGAATAACCAGCCTCTTTGTGTGTTTGCATGACCAGTTAACTCTGGGGATGGCATCGACTACAGCCAGCAGAAGAGAGAGAACATCGGGGACCTGATCCAGGAGACGCTGGAAGCCTTCGAGCGCTACGGAGGGGAAGACGCYTTCATCAACATCAAGTACATGGTCCCCACCTACGAGTCATGCTTGCTGAACTGACGGTGGGAGCAGCTTGCCTGAGAGCCAGGCTTCCCKGGGGCCGCGGTCCTCTGTCTCTGCCGCTTTTAGCATCTCATTACTAGTGACTTCTACGCTTTCTTTCTACAGCTGCTAGAATAGTGGCTCATGGGCCACTGGACTGTTCGCCCTATTGAGAGCAAGGCTTTCCGATACATAAATAGTGCCTGTTTCTTAGATTACAATAGTGTACTGTGCTTATTTGTTCTAGGAGAAGAATTGCTTCTTTATACAGCTCAGATGGAGGCAGGAGTTGGAGTTAAACCTTCACTTGTGTAGACAATAAAACTATAATTTTCATACGCAATTCAGCAATTGCTGTGCAGTGTCCGCCTGCCCTGAGGGTGATGTCAGAGGCTGTAAGGGAAGAGTTTGTGCTGACTGCTTCATAGGCGTTTGTCATGGAAGAGAAGCATCAGTTCAGGCTGCCTCTCTAGCAGCTGTGCAGAATAATGTGCTTTGACATTCAATAAAAGTGTTGAATCTATATTACAATTACAGCAGGAGATTTTTGCAGCCCGTTATAACCTCAGCTATAGACGTAATTAATGCTTCTAGCCTGCTRGTGATCTGGGCTCCGAGGCCTTTCCAGTCTACATCTGGGTGCARGTGGGGAAGCTGGGGAGGGGCTGGGGTCAGGATGATGCGTGAAGCGTAACTTTGCCAACAGGGTTTGAAACGGAAAGCAAGGCCGGATCCTGGTGCACCGTGTCATGCACCGCATCTCAGGACCTGGCCTGCTGCTGAGAAGGCGGCCGGCAGTTGGTTGTGGGCTTTTCATCATTCCTGAAAACAGCCCACACGCATCTTCATGATGGCCCCCGTCGGGTCTCCCCCAGGCAACTCTGCCTTGGCTTCCTCCTGCTGGTGGCATGGCTCTCATCACGCCACGGGCAGGTCTGAGGGCAGCGTTTCAGGAGTTCATTGAGACCGAAAACCAAGACAAAGCTGAAGATGTGCACTTTCCATTCAACAAAGAAGGGAAAGGCGGTGCCCAAAGAGAAGACCGCGGCTGTTCAGCCTGCCACCCRGAGCTCCCGGCATTTGAAACGCAGCCCAGAAAACTTCCTAGGCAGACGCTGGCTTTGCACACCTAAGCAATGCTATACTTGCCCAGAAATGCATTGCCAGAACGTCTTGTTTCTGTAGCAAAATGCAATTTCTGCATAAAAGTGAAGAAATGAGCTGTGTTCCTCCATCCACTGAGCTTTGGCCTCAATATTATTGTTAGTAATTGTCGAAGGCTCAAGTTTCCAAAGGCAAACACCGATGTTGTGAACTAGTTCATTATTCATTTTCACTGATTGCTGTCTCAGCATGTGGATGCTAGCATTTAGATGTTACCACCTAGTTTCTGTAAGCATTTTTTAGAATAAATGGAGATTATAATGATCAGGCAGAACAAATGAGCTCTCACATATAATGTTTGGAAACAACATAGCTAGAAGTAGACATGGGAAAACCAAGGAAGGTCTGCTGCAAACTATGATGTCCTATTGTACCGGCTAGCTGTGGTCCTGGTCTGTGGTCACACTGGACACCAAAGTTCATGATATTATTATTTGAAAAGACCATGGTTTGTTGGCACCTTCGAAAGCCTGAGCCAGAACAGCTCCTACTAAGTTCAGCTAATAAACACAGATGTGGGCCCTGCTTCTCACTCTCTCATCATTCGCATCAATACTGCCTGACATGGCACAAGAAGACCCTGCCAAGAGCCCCAACTTGGGCTTGGTATTAAAACTTTAGGCTTTATTCCCCAGCTCTGTCACTCATTGGCTGTGCTGTCTTGGGCAGATTACTTAACTTCTCTGACCTCATGTGTCCTCAGCTGTGATGTGAAGGTTACCCCTGCCTGCAAGGGTGCTGTGAGCATCAGAGGTTTTCCATATAAAGTACCAGCATYGTTTCTCACACTCACTGAGCTTTTATTTTCAGAGAGAAACAGCATGAAGGATAACTCATTTTTACCCCCAATAGAGCAATATGCCTTTGAAAACTCCTATGGTGCTCCTGGCATGGAAGTGGTGAGCTCCTTGAAATAAGGGGATCATTTTGCAGAAAAAACAAAACAACTGCACAGGCAACACCTGGAGATTGAAAAGCCAAACAAGACAGAACACACATCTTTGCTGGTTTACTAATAGAGAATCAGGAATGGTCTGCTTTCTCTTATCGTCAGTTTACTCCAGATTTGGCTTCAACTCTCCCCAAATAATTCCTCATTGACTCAAAAGGCGGGGGCTGTGGTGTAGTTCAGTGGTAGAGCACTTGCCTAGCATGAATGAGGCCCTGGGTTTGTCCCCAGCAAGGGGGGGGGGGAGGAGGAGGAGGAGGAGGAGGAGAGAGAAGGGTGGGCCCTCGGGGGCCTCCAGGCCTGGGCTAGGTGGAGGCTCTCTCGTCCGCTGCGTGCCGACAGGACTCTTGCCTTCGAGCTCTCTGATGAAGCACTGAGCACAGCACAGACAGCCCGTGCCAGGCAGGGCTTGTCTGTCTCCTCTGATGCGGTTATACTGACTCAAAGATGCCACTCAGGAGTAGCAGTTAAAGGACGCTACAAGTAGGACCCTGGAGAGCAGAGCCCACAGGCCAGTGGGCCTGTCACTCGGGAGCTGTGAGGCAGGGGCAAGCCGGGTCACTGCAAGGGCCCGATGATGGATGCGGGCACAGTGGTCACAGCAAGGCCACAGCCCACACAGGGCGGTTGAAGTCCCCCTACCTCTGGTCACAAGGCAGCTTGGGCAAGTTATGTCAGTTCTCTAAAACTCAGATCCTKCATCCAAAAGTGCACTCAATGATGTCTACTCTGTGGCTTTGTTACAAGCACTGTATGAAAAGCTCATGTCCCTGAAGAGCTCAGCAGAATGCCGGCCTGGTGTCTGGAGCCTGCGGGGCTCCCCCCATGTGGACCCCAGGGAGGGCGGGCTCTCGTTGACTGACAAGACCGCCCTCCATGGGGGTGGTCTCTGCCCCTCTCACCAGCAGAGGTTGTGGCTGAAACACACTTCCAGGTGAGAAGGACCTAGGACTTTCACAGTGACCTCCCCTCCCCCAGTGCCACAGGAACAGCCGGCTAAGTCTTGAGATGCATCTGGCTGCAGTACAGAACTGGAAAGCTGTGAAAGGGTGGCGTGTTTGGAAAACATTGTCAAAACTAAGATTTCCTAAATGAAGAAAGCCTAAGCCTCCCTGGGGTGCACTTGCATGAGGTTCTGGAGAAGTCTGGTGCAGGCCGTGGGACGTCTCCTGGTGCTAACTTAAAAAGCCAAAACAGAGCAATCCTAGGTCTGTCTCAACACCCACCGCATCTCTCCCTTCTTCCAGCTATTTTGGAATGTTTATCACCAGCTCTTTCTCAGCAAAATCTGGGAGACTCAAAGAAGCTCCTGGAGATGCAGCACACCTGGGGAATCACCCACCGTCCCAGGTGTGCACCCCCCTCAGACAGGAGCCACAGTGCGCAAGCATCCCCGGGGCACCCATCGGCTCCATTTCACCATCTAAGGAGCCTTTGTCTTCAGCAAACSGAAACTGGCTTCCGTCAAGTTCCCACTCACCCCATCAATGTGTGACTGGGCCCTAATCATCCAGGCCCAGAAGGACCGGGCCCTCACAGCTGGACCAGGGGTGTCCATGTCAGACTGGGGCAGCTGGGGGGTGAATATTCTCAGCTCCTCCAGCTCCTCTCCAGGGTCCCCAGGGCCTGCTGCAGGGCTCACAAAACACCATGTTCTTCCCAAGGCCCAGAAAGAAGGGCTTTCCCAAGTTCAACCAACACGTGTCCTTTAAAAAGCCACATCRGAAGCGAGTTCTCCTTCCTGTCTCCTTGTGTGCTCTGGACCCACCGTTTTTTGCTCCCTAGGGAACCTGAGCATGATGTCCCGGGTGCTGGAGGGGCAACTCTGAAATAATCCCTGCTCCCCACTCCACTGGGATCATCTGCAATCACGATGGTTCACTACAGAAGGAACGGTATGTATCCTCTCTGCCCTGCGGTGGGGGTGGGGCACACAAGCATGCTTGGCTTATCAAGAGCATTTTCCAACAGGAAAATACATCTGATTCTAAAAATATCTCCCACCACCTTGGTCTCCTTTGCAGTCTTAAATGTGTGAGCGTGTACTCACTGGAGGGGAATGCAATGCACCAGGTGGGCTTTGTTTCTGAGCAACCCCAAGTGACAGTGGCTTCCCCTCTGGTTCGGGGGCTACTGCTGACATTAAGGAGGAAGGCAGTCACTGCAGAAGGTAGCCCGTGCCCTCCTCAAGGAGGGTTTTATTATTTGGGCTCTTACCCAGTTTTAGGCCTCGCTCCTGGGGTAAGTGACTGGACGGTTCGCCAGTTCTCTCACCCGCAGCTAAGGGCATTGACAGATACCCAGGGCAAGAGCACTCTGCTCGCTGGTTTCCTCGCATTTCTGTTTCAAGGGTCGCTTTTGCTTTCCCCAGTGGGAATATTTTTAAGGTACTTGGATGCTTGGCTCATTTGTACTTTGCCAAGTTTCTGTAAGTTTAAATCTGGGTGAAAGGATACGTTCTCTTCCTGTGCTTGATAAGTCTGAGAATTTATTACTTTAGTTTCTCTTTTATTTAGAAATTATTGAGAAATATTGCCTTGCCTTAAGAATCCTTTGGAAACTATGCACCCTCTACCCAGATGAGCGTACGCTACACACAGAATTCAGATGGTGATTTCAGGGCATGGTGATCTGTCCTGATCCCATCCGGGCACCAAGGAAGCCCAGGTCTAGAACTCCAGGGTTAGAAGGTAAATCCAGGGGCACCCACCAAGAAAGGCAGCGCTTCCACTGGGAGAAGCGAGGAGAACGTGCCGTCTGCTCGCCTGCAAGCCCAGGGAGGTGGAGACGAACTCACTGAAGAAGGAGCGGTCACCGGGGAGGACTGCTGATGCCCAGACTCGCGGCCTCCTCTCGGCCTCCTTGGCTGCTCCCTCTCCTCCGCCTGACCTCCCACCCTCGCAGGATCCAGGGCTTGGGCCTCCGCCTCTTCCTGCTGCACGTCCAGCTGTRACCAAGGAATCGCACCCAGCCCCATGGCTGCACATGCCATCTCCCACCACTGACTCTCCAATTGAACTCGGGGCCCCATCTGCCCACCACCCASTGGACATTTCCACCAGCATGTCAAAAACCAGATGAATGAACCAAGTCCAACTCCTTCCACTCTCTGATCTGCTCCCCCCACACACACCATGCTCCGTGCGTCAGCCCAACAGCCCTCCACCCCTGATATTCCACATCTGGACCAGAACCTCACAAAGCCWGTCTGCCAGGCCTCGTTCTGGCTCCCTCTACCTCCTCCAGACCAACTAGSCATCTGGCCTATCTACCTCCCTGTGGAGTAGCCTCTCCTGGAATCCAGTGACCCTTTCAACACAAACCCCCAAKCTCCCCATCCCAGCACTAAGGTGAAGCCCGAGGGGACCGCGTGTTGCAGGAGCCCTGAGGTCCCATTGCTCTGAGCTGTT